ATTCCTGGAAGACTATGTTGAAAAAAGTAAGCTTCTATCAGTATTAGAAGTCCTTATACCAAAAAAAAAAATCACCTTATTTATTGAATGACCCTTGTGTATACTGTATACACACATTCAACTGTTAAAAATTAAGATATTTGCTGGTGGATTGAAATTGTGCCCATTAAATACAATTATATTGCAGCAGTATGTCATGTTTGGATTGTATTTTATCAATTAAAAAATACAAGAGAAATGAATACAAATAAATATCATGAAAATAATTGATTTCATGTAACTTGGTGATTACTTACTAAATCGCTTCATCAACTGCCCATTTTTCTCCTGCTGGGTTAAAAGTATGTACAGTTGCAAGCTTTTTTAACCTACAAAGAATTTTTTCCCCCTGCTGTTTAAACCACTTGTGACTCTTACTAAAATACCCAACATTCAATTCTGTAATGTGTATTATCCCTAAAGACTTACAGTACTACACTGTAGACATGTTTGCCATCTCCCTAAACCTGCATGCCTCTTCCTCCTCTTCCTCCTCCTCACATGCTGCTTTGATGAAAGCAGCAAGGCTCGTGCTTCTAAAAGCTAGCTTATGATTTATTTAGCCTCTGAATGGCTGCTGTTACGCTCGATATTCTTTTTTAAACACATTTTTGAAAAAAAGGGTAGTGTTAGTAAGGAGGGAGCAAACGGAAGGAAAAGGTAGTCAACAGTGTGACAAAAGCAGCCTGTTGTTGCATTTGATATGCAATATATGTGGCAGCGTGATCAGATGACAGAATGCTGGAAAAAAAGTCTATTTGTCAATGAAAATTCAAGAAGAAAAGGCAGTGGTAGAATGAATAGAGCGCAAGAAGGATCAAAAGATAACAAGAAGCAAGCCATTTGACATTAACGGGTATCAAAAAGAATAGAAAGACAAAACAAAAGCGTGGAGTGAAGAGGCGGAGGATCACAGGGAGGGAGGAGGCAGGCCAGCATTCATTATTAATGGGACAAATGTCTGACTGACTGACTCAATTTGGGGCTTAGCTGTTTCCACACCAGCGAGGTGTCACATTGACTTACAGTGATGATGGGAGAGGAGAAAGACGAGAGCCTTACCTCAGTCTCACTCATGCTTTGCAATCTGATTATTAATTACTTTAGCAACACTTTAGAAACATAATGACTGTGAGGTCTTGCTTGCCAAATAGTGATCCCGCAGTTGGGTCTTTTTAGTGTCAAACATTTGTAATTAAGGGCCACATTTGATTTTTCAAACAGAGTGATGGGCCCGGTCATTTGTATGAGTTAAAAAAAAAATGCTTTGCTGTATGACGGCAGGTGACTTTCGGCACAACAAGCGGTTGAAAAATATAATTATGAAATATTCTTTTAAAAAAAAAAAACAAACACACACACACACACACACACACACACACACACACACACACACACAACTGACAGTCCCGGTTGAAGTTTACTGTCAAACTAAACATAAAACAATGACGTTGTATATTTGAATAACCACATAACCTCCGCTAGCTTAATTCTAAATGTTCCAGTGGCACACACTTTAATTAATTAAGCAACAAAGATCTGAACCCGAATAGGCAAGCAACACATTTAGACAGAAAATATCACAACATCCAGTCAGAAATTCTTTATCCTCTGTGAAAAACGTACTATATTATTGGCGTACTGAAAAGCCAAGAGAGGAGCCGAGTCTCCAGTACAGTATATCCTAATGTTTCTTACACTGCCTGAGCTGGTCAAGGAATGAACACCAGAAGGAGCAGCATAATTGAAGGAGAACGTGTGAAAAAAAATTATTTGTTTATTATTTACCTTATAAAATGATATCGTGATTGAATGTGTTTTTGCTATTTTGAAGTAAGTGAGCAAGTAAGGTATGGATGAATGAATGGATGGATGGATGGATTTTTTTGTCAACAAAAAACGGTTTACAAATTCCTTTCCTTGGGGTGAGGGCTGCAACAGAAAATGGAATTGACATGGAATTCCATTCAAAGCCCAAAGGAAAATTAACTAACTAAAAAGGAGGCGACAATGACACAGTTTTTGGCTATTTGAGGCAGAGCTCCGTCTCGAGCACCTATGAACCTATTGGTAGCAATACTGTGCTGTGGAGTCTTAAAATGGAATAATGCAAATGCCTGACCTCACATTATTTTGTACTACAGTGTGGTCACACATTCGACCACTTGGGACAAGGCAGATGGCCACGCCTGTGTGCGCGCACCTGGCTTTATTAAAACGTCACACCGGGGTGAATAAAGTGTGTGTCCCGTCCTGCCTTCTGCTGTGTATTTACAGTGCATCGTAAATCCCGCCACTAGGCCTCTTATGAATTGCTAATGTCCCACATCAACCATCATCGCTCTCCACTGAGATCAGGAATCAGCAACCGAAAAGGTGGACGCTCTGACTTCTTCTCAAAAACATCCTGGCTCGGTTTTCATCCGGCTCTCGCACGCCCGAATATCAAACCGTTTCCACTGGAAGCCTCGACTCTCTTTAATCATTCATGTAGGCACATTAGGCAGTGTCACACTGCACCATCAAGGCCACAGAGACGAGAGACGGATGGCGACGATTAACGACGCATCCCCAAGTGGAGTCCAATCATCACAAGTGCACAAAATGACTACAAAACTGAGCTTTTGTTTGAAATTACAGAATGCCATGACAAAAAAAAAAAAAAAGTTTTTGAAGTGAAATGTGACAATGTGTGGTACAAATACAATGAATGGTACGAGGCTCTCTCTAGGGGTATGTGCAAGTATCACTGAATCAAATACAATGAAATTTACAATGTTTAAAACCTAAAATTACACTAACATAATAGAAGGATGCTTATAGCTATGCACACAGCCTGGTATTGTTGAAGTCCGGTTTGTTCAGTTCCGTTGTATTTAACTTCAAAGTACAGTAAAATACATTTATTCAAGTACAGATTTCTTAGATTTTATTTCCATATTTAAGAGCAATGTTAAACTGTCTATACGACTACAATGGCTGACAATAATAACTGCATGTCTACTTTTTAAAATAAAAATGTTATTTTTTTTTTTTTTTGTTTTTTTTCATACTTTGTGTGAAAAATTTGAGAACCACTGCATTATTTTATCTGGGAAACTCTGGGTCGAATCAATCAATTTCACATTCAGTTTAGTGTGATTTTTAGCATTTATTTTTTATTTTTTTGGTGCTATTTCCTGAAATTTTAACAGGTTCCCCAAAAGTGCACAGTAACCCAAAATACTTTTTGACTTTATTTGATATGTGTAAGAATTAGGTAACAGTGTTTCCATTGTTTTTCAAAGTTTTTATTTATGTAAAGCGTATGGTACATTTTTATGGTTTCATCTATTATATACAAAAATATTTTTAATATTATTATTTTTAAGTGATCTCTCTGTAGTCTATGGCAGATTTTCACCTGTGTCTCTTGCAATAAATGAAGATCACGCTCTCATCATTTTTTTTTTTTTTGAATATGCATCAACCTAATTTAGCAATGAAAAATATCGGCGGAACAGCTCGGACACACTAATTTCTCTAATGTGTTGCACACTATGAAATGCTATACCTCAAGACATAATCTTATCACATTCTGTTAGCACTTAGCATCTATTAGCTTGACTCGTCTGTAGGCTCCGTTCACAGTGCGGCTCAATTCCATTTTTTTGCTGCATTGAACACACCAGTCAGATTAGCTGACTTCAAGACGCAATTTTTATCCAAGTGGAAACTTAAGGGTTAGTAAACAAAACAAAACAAAAAAACAGACTGTAGAATTTTACACTTTAGCAACAAGGTCATGTTAGCATGTGTATTTCTAACAATATGTCCTCAAATGAGACTCGCTGCAAACTCATAGTGAAAAAACACAGACTATTTTTTTTTTAACAATTGCCTATATTAACAGTTTTAAGAGTAAATATATCACATGTTAAAATCTGAAATATTTCACACTCAACATATATTAATTACCCTTAAAAATAAATTGCTTATAGATGAAAAATGTTGTTGATGTTGGTAAGCTCAAGCTTTTTTACAGCGAAAACGTGTTGAGTCTAACTTTGACTAACTACCCAGGCTAACCTTAGCTCCCCCCTACATCCAAAGGACAGTCAAAACTCATCTCTTTCACATACATCCTTGACGCCAATATTTTCTATTTCCTATTAGCGGTTTGCTTCCTATTGAGCTTTGCCCTCATCATGTACTTTATGAAAAATTCAATCTGCAAATGGCAACCACTTGATTTTGCCAATGCAAAAGAGTGGAATCAATTATTTTCAACTTCAATATATTCCCAAAGTGCATTATCCACCACGAGTGACCTTGACCACCTCCATACCGACTACGACAACACAAACATGTTTTCCGAGTGGCCAAATCTGAGTTTTTATTTTTTTTATTTTTCCCCTCCCACTCACGCCCTGACGTCCTCTCCTCCTCTGCATCCTCTCCTTCTAATTTACAAGTTTTATCAGCAGCAGCACGCTGGCACTCAAACTTTTTCCTCGTACGCGGCAACACACTGCCAACAACGCCTGCAGACAAATGAGCCAATGCTTGTGCAACACACAAAAAACAACTTTCTCTTAATGCGTCGCGAGGAACATAAAAAAGCAACAATATTAAAAAAAAAAAAAAAAAAAAAAGAAGAAGCATCATCCACAGCACCCTGAGTGCCAAATGAGCACCTTTTATTCATAGCATGCATGAATATCAAGTGTGTGCATGCGTGCGTGTGTGTGACTTTGTGTGTGTCCGTGTGTGCGTGTGCGCATGAGATGTGGATCAAGGACGCTCTCCTTTCCAAGCACATTTTGGAAGAAAGAGCAGACATTTTCCAGATGATTCACTTCTACTTATTAAAGTGAGGAAGATGATAAAAATGAAAACGAGGTGAAGGATGAGACTTGTTAGATGAAGGATGGAGAAGAAGGAAGAAGAGGGTGACGAAGATTTTTTTTTTCTCTACTTACAGAATCTCCAGATCGCGCAGTGCTCGGAAAGCCCCATCTTCAATGCAGCTGATGTGGTTGCTGTCCAGTTGCCTACACACACACACACACACACACACACACACACACACACACACACACACAGAGAAGAGTCAAAGTCCGCTCAGCTGGGGGGGGGGGGCTACCCAAAAAGGCGTGAATGAGTGTGTGAGGAGGAGGAGGAAGAGGAGGGGAGGTGATACCTCAGTAGTGAGCTCAAAGTAGAAGACCCTCCACACACACACGCCCTCACACACACACACACACACACACACACACACACACACACACACACACACACACACACGCACAGCAGAGGGGATGGCCGCTCTCACCTCAGCGCCGTGATGTGTGAGCCACCCCGAGGAGGAGAAGAAGAGGAAAAAGGAGAGCCGGCGAGGAGGAATAGAAGTGGCCAAACGGCCGACGTGGCGGCAGCCTATCACCTGCTGCCTCGCTCGCCCGCCAGATGGGGGAGAGAGAGGGGGCGAGAGAGGTAGACGCCCATAGGGAGAAAGAGAGAGTGGGGAGGAAGTGCCCACCCTTCTTGTCTCTTCTGTAAATATTAATTGCATTTTCCTCCTCCTCCTCTTCCTCCTCCCCCTCCTGCTACCAATGTCATCTTTTATTCTTTCTTTCCTGTGTGTAGTGAAAGAGGGAGTAATTTCATTACATTAGGCCGGCCAATCCATTAAGGGCCTTTTACCGGCTCTGTCACTGAAACAATTTCATTAAAAGCAAAGCCGCCGTAAATCAACCGGCAGTCACGACTTCCTTCCTCCCAAAAACACAGACAGGCCACGCCTCATTGGCTAAACTCCCACACGGAGACCCCCCACCCCACCTCCTCCAAACAAAACGCCATCTTCATCCCACCTTGTGCCCTCCATCATCCATCCTTGGCTTTTATTTTAATTTGATCTTGGTAGATGCTGTTGGTCTAGACCTCCACTTTCCTTCCTTCTACATCCACACGCCAACCGTGAACCCGACAACCCCGAAAAGTCACCCTTCCTTTCATTCGGCCAGAGGTGGTAAATAATTAAGTATTGATATTTGTGAAAATTTTGTTCAAGTCCAACTGGTCCATCGTGTGCAAGTAAAAAAATGGAAAAAAATGTGACTGACTCTGAAATGTTCTTAAAAACCTTGTACAATTATTTCAATGATTTGTTTCTAAATACATTGTATATTAGCCCACCACTATTCACGGAGGACAGGGACTGAGTCAGACCTCAAATTGCGAAAATTCGCAAGTAATGACACTCACTATAAATTATATTATTAAAAAAAAAATGCAAGTTAAAAAAAAGCAAATATGCGAGAATCAGGAAAAACGAGTGAAAAATGAATGGGTCCACTGTACATGTTTGAAGATAATTCTGAAAACTGATTGTTTACTGGCGAGATTGCTTTCGAGAGCCTTGTCGTTTGTGAATATGCGCAAATCACAGAGAGAAGGTGGGGAAAAGTTCAAAAAATAAATACAACTAATCCTAACGAAGAGCCAGCATGTGGACGAGGGCTTCTTGCTGCCGTAGCTGCTTTCGAGAGCCTCATAGTCACGGTCTGGAAAAGCCCCTTGACGACCCCGTGTGTTATGGTCCAGTCACTCGAGATTTAAAGCAAATATCGCTGGTGCCGGGAGGAATCCTCGAACCTCCAAAATCGTAATTTTTCACAAGACCGCAAAAACGTCATGGGCTCACCCGTTAATACTGCATCGTCAAAGAGCGCAAGCTATTTTCAACACTTTAGATTGGTTAACAATTATAAAAATAACACAGATAGATGTGAATGAACTCATAGAATAGATTTGTGAAAAACGATGAAATTTACCAAATTCTGGCATAGGAGGTTTTGGCCCGGTTTCTCGGGACAAGAAGGCATAAAAAAGATGCTTGATGAAGCAGCGTCCACTTTTCAGGTCATTGTAGTCTGATTTAATTCACATTTGAGTGGGTCATGGTTTCATTGATTCTGAAATATGCAAAACAAAAAAGTTTGCCTTTTTTTGGACGGTCAATTATATCTAAAACTCATTTTGATAACTTAGGACAAAGAGAAGAAGAAAACATCGCATATATTGTGTGGGAGCTAGCTCGTGCTAAAATGGTAAATTAGTGTGGTCGAACAACTGAAAAAGAATCATGCTAGTTGCATTTCAGATTCAAGTCTATTCCCTTAGTTCCTCCATGTCGCTCCTGTCTGTTATTTTTTGTTTACGCATCGCTAAGATCTCAATCAATCAATATTAAAAAAAAAAACATGTAAATTATTTACTCTCAACCTTGTATTGTCATCCAAACATGTACAAAAAAGCAACTAGCCTATTTTGAGAACATGCGGAGTAGAAAGTAAAAATCGGTTTTAAAATGTAGGCAAACAAAGTAGAAAGTCGTCAGAAAAATAGAAACTCAAGAAAAGCAAAGTATAGTGACATTATTTGCCCTTTCTCCACTTCCCACCACGGCACTACTTTTCTTCCTATATGAACTGAAGTCGCTTACACATGGCAAGCAGATGGGCACAAATCCTCCAAATACTCAAACATAGCCACTTTCTTCCATCCATTCACTTTCTCTTTTTACGTTTACATCGCTCGTGTCCGTTTGTCCACTCTTCACCTTCACCTTCCCTTCTCCTAGCGCTCAATGGACAACGTGTGCCACTAAAGCAGCCCTCGCAGTGGGGGTGTGCCCCGTTATGTCTCCTTTGAGGGCATCCTAAGAGGCAGGTCACCAGGGCAACAGGTGGACTGGCTTTGAACAAAAGACGCTGTGAATTTTTTTCTTACGACTAAAAGCTGTCCTTGGTGGATTTTTTTTTTTAAGCTCTGTTTTTGCACGTTATCTTCCGTAAGCTAGACTTAAGTATGTAAGATTGATGGTTTATATATTTTTTTTATTATTCTTCCATTCAAGGGGAAATTTTATCAGTTTTATAGCCTTTATTGAGCCAAGGCACATGTTTTGCAAGAGCGATGGCACACACAAAAAAAAAAAGTCTGATACTGAAATGATCTCGTCTTTTGGTATCAAGTGGAAGAGCATTTCATTGTTCCGCTTGACACTATACGTCACAGGCATTGATAGATGACATATTACCTGAAGGAAATAAACAATTGTTTTTGACCAGTGAAGTAAAATGAGATGTTTTCCTCCAGCCCACCTGATCCTCTCATTGGTACCACGGCAGGGAATATCATAAATTTATGTTGTAATGTAATAATCTGTCTCAGTAGGCTTTGACTGGATTGTGTTTTTTCTTGCGCCTTTTCCCGAAATTTTTTTTTCTGACGGTTCTGATTGGCTGGATTTGTCCTTAGGCTAAGGGAAATTTAGCACCGCTTCTACACAAGCAAATGCATTTTTGACATTACATTTTTATTAAAAGGTTAGTTGATTTTTTTTTTTTATGTAAATGGCGAGGAGTAATTTCTTTAATTTTTATTTTTTTTTTAATTGAATGATTTTTCTTGAATTGATATACGATTTGCCTGTCTGTTGCTTCATTTATTGTCAAACAAAAGGCATTTTTTTCCCCCATTTTTCTACTTTTATGTTTGTATCTGTTTTTCGAAACTTTGCATGCAGATATTTATTTTTGATGCAAAGGATAAAAATGAAAAATCTAAAGTTCTTTCATGTTTTTGTTGGACAGCATTAATCATGTGTGAAAGCAGGACATGAATTCAAAGGGTTGTGTGAGTCCCAAATTAAGTGAAAATGCCTATCAATGGCAAACCCACACCTCACATTAACTAATTTCTGTACTTCGTAGCAATACAAACAATAAATATATCTTTCATAACTCTCAATGAACTTATAGTCTCTGTTGCTTGCTATGTTTGTCCATCAGTTGGATTAAACAAACCAAGCCTTGATGAATGTTTGCTGCATGCGCCAAACATCTGGTTAACATAGTTGAAAGAACGCAACCTTGTGTTTTCAATGGCTGCGGTGAAGGTACATGCACAACTTTAAGCGTGCGCAACAGGGCCATAAAAAGCTTTGATTTACTGCGAAATGCATTTTTCATGTACGGTATGTCCATCCACCCGCCAGCTGCTGGCGGTTAACACTTGGTGCTGAAACACTTTGGACCCAAATAGAAACATGAAAAAATGTTTTTTAAAGAATACAAATTGCCAACTTTGGACTCGCAACATTTGCGTCCCGAGTGTAGCGTGAGGTAGTGTAGTGTAGTACACAACATAGTGTTGTCTGTTACTTTGTATGTATGGATTGTTTTGTGCAATGCAGTACATTGTCAGGTAGCAAGTGCAGTGTAATATATGTAGTGTAGTGTATCCACATAGTACCAAAAGTGAAAAATAGGAATACTCGTAACAAGGTGGTTCTCAGCTGGTGTCACCCTGGGACTCGCATTGTGCTATTGCTGCAAAGTCGCGACCCACTTTAACAGAAGAACAATATTTTGTATGCGTTATACATAGCCTCTGAAACGCGTGCATAGTAATCTTTTCAAATGCTGTTTGAAATGAGTCTGATGTACTGATGAGTTTCATCATTCATTCATTCATTTTCCGATCCGCTTTATCTTCACAAGGGTCGCGGAGGGTGCTGGAGCCTATCCCAGCCGTCTTCGGGCAGTAGGCAGGGGACACCCTGAACCGGTTGCCAGCCAACCGCCGGCACGCAGAGACGAACAACCATCTGCGCGCCCACTCACACCTAGGGACAATTTGGAGTGTTCAATCATCATGCATGTTTTTGGAATGTGGGAGGAAGAAACCCGCAGAAAACCCATACAGGCCCGGAGAACATGCAAACTCCACACAGGGAGGCCGGAGCTGGAATTGAACCTCTGCACTGTGAGGTCGACGTGCTAACCACTGGACAACGAGACCGCCCGAGTTTCATCATTTAATTAAGTTCTTAGTGAGAATAACTTTTATCGGATTCAAATGATTTCTTGGACCGCTGTGGGTTTTTCTTTCATAACCAGAGAGGTATCAAAAATGTTGTCCATGTGTACTCCAGGGTGATTACGGCAAGAAGTCTGTTGGGTGTCTCTTTGGTGACATGTGT